GTGCAGACCCGGCCTGCTAGTTTGCGCACCTGCTCGCAGTGTAGACTGCCCCTGAGCAAAGCATCAATCGTGCTGGAGAACTTGCGGTACGCAAATTGGGGAATGTCCCACAATCCCTGCATGACCCTTTCTGAAATAGCATCTTTCAGAACCATCATGAACATCTTGGTGTCCCCTGCCATCAGACCCACCGTCCTCAGATTTGCCGGCGTACTCGGGCTCTTCCGCGGCTTTGCCAGCCACGCCAGCTGTACCTCCGTCCATTCCGTTGGTATGACTGGTTCCTCACAACACAGACTGCCAGAAGCCAGCTTTTGGAGAATGGTGACAACAGGCTCACTATGCTGTTTCCAGTTCCGAAGCGGGGGGGAGTTGTTGGGTGCCGCCTTCTCAGCTTGCAGCTTCCTTGCTGCACGCCGCCAGCGCTCAATGCACATCTCCTCTGCCGCGATTGGTAGCAGCTGCAGCTTCGGGTACTCCGGCGCCATGAAGAGTTCCCTCGCGTACTGTGCTAGCTCACGACACTCATCGGCTCCACACATCAAGTTGCCATCCTTATCCCTTAGCCTGATGCGCTGCGCATTCTTGTTTGGACACAGTAAATTGACGATGCCATACCATCCCCTGACATCATTCTTACTGGCTGCCGTCTCGGCTTGCGACAGCAGTTCCAGGGTGCGCTGCCGCTTTCGAGCACGTAGCGCTTTCTTGAGATTTCTATGCGCCCTGTTATAAGCGAGCCGAAGTCTGAAGTACCGAAAAACAAAGATGAAACCCGCACCAAGCAACGTCTGAGCAATGTGTAGTTTGCGACGCAGCTTCCAGCATCCGCTGATCGAGTCGTCCACTGGAGCAAGCTCCGGCTTCTTGGCCTTCGTCGGTGCTATGCCACCAGCTCTTTGTACGGCCTCCCGCAGCTGCTTGACATTACACGGCTGGTTCTCTTGACAGTACCGTAGCAGTGGCGCGTTGTCGCCTAAATCCTTCAAGACATTGTTGTCCTGCCTCTTTGGCTGCTTCCACGGAGTCCAGCGATGGGGATTGGAGGCTACTACCGGCTTGTGCCCTGTAACCCTCCAGCCGGCCATGTATGTGTCCACCGGCCTCGCCCGCTTTGCCTCTCCGTCCGCAACTGATTGGCGGGAGCACACGAAGTCGATCTGGCTACCTCCCTTTGCATGAACATATGTGGCAGCGGTGGACTTCCTGCTCCACGTGTTCAACGCCTTGAGCTTATGTCGTTGCAGTATCCGCATCAGATGGTCCTGGTCCGCGCGTTCTTTCTCCGACAGATCTCTGTGCAATAGGCCATATCCACTAACCTGGTTCTCACGATCTGCGACCTGGCCGGCAAGGACGACAGAAGCTTGTCCAGCTTCGACAGCAGTTGCCGTCGTTGGTTCAATATGTGATCCGACATCCCGGCCTTCTGAAGAAACGCATACTGGTAAAATCCCAGGACATCTATTTGTTGTTTGTCCAAGAAGAATCGTACCTGTAGGAGTCTTCCTGGATCAGCTTCATACCACCTGATGCCATGCATGTCCACAACATCTGTCCGAACACCAACCATGATGCCCCCGCTTCCTTTCCTGCCCGTTGTTGAATGGCAAAAATGCCAGTTGGTCGTAGACCAGCCTCCACTGAAATTCCAGTGTGTCTCTTGCAGTATGATGATGCTGATGTCCTTCTGTCTCTCAAGCTGTAGCCATTGCTGCAGCTCCGCAAAAAATACCTCCGATAGTCCTCCCACGTTCCAGGACATAAAACGAATTCGCCGCTTTGCAGTCGTCTCCACCTCCTCCTCTATTACCGGGAGCAGGACCGACTTGGCCACAAGCTTACGGCCTCTATACATAGTTTAGTTTCTCCATGCAGCTGCGCACGT